TGACTAAAAGGCAGAAATGTTTAAATTAAATTTGACCAAAAGCTGCTGCCATACCTGTTGCAGTGCAACCTAACTTGGCATTTTAGTAAACTGCCTCCCAGCTGAGACTATATTCTTGTAACAAATAGCCAAATCTCAGCAAGTCACAGCAGCTGTGCTTTAACCAGGCACAGGCTGCCAACTGATCAAACCATGTCCACATAAGGCAAATGCTGAGCTGTACGCCATCAAACTGTTTCTGTGTGTTACTTCCAATAAATTTGGCCTGCCCATGTTGCTGGGTGGAGCACTCTGAACCTTTACTGTTTCAGGATGCTGCCCGATTCATAAATTTTCTTTGCTAAAATAAAGTCAGCTTAACTAAAAAAAAAAAAAAAAAAGAGGCCGGGCGCGGTGGCTCAAGCCTGTAATCCCAGCACTTTGGGAGGCCGAGGCGGGTGGATCACGAGGTCAAGAGATCAAGACCATCCTGGTCAACATGGTGAAACCCCGTCTCTACTAAAAATACAAAAAATTAGCTGGGCATGGTGGTGCGTGCCTGTAATCCCAGCTACTCAGGAGGCTGAGGCAGGAGAATTGCCTGAGCCCAGGAGGCGGAGGTTGCGGTGAGCCGAGATCGCGCCATTGCACTCCAGCCTGGGTAACAAGAGCGAAACTCCGTCTCAAAAAAAAAAAAAAAAAAAAAAAAAAAGAAAGAAAAGAAAGAAAAGAAAAGAAAAACAGAGGCAAGGACAGTCGAGGCAGAGAAGGAAGCATAAACAAAGACAGGGGAAAAACACCACGGAGGTGGTGAGCAGGGAGAACTTCGAGAGGTTTAGTTTTACTAGAGCATGATGTTCAAGTCGCAGAGTGTTAGAAATGAGGGAGAGGTGGTAAGGACCCAAAGACAAAAGACCTGGAGTGTAAGGCTAAGTAGGGGGTGTGGGCTTTTTCCTGTATGAGATAATGCATCCTTGAAGAGCTTCAAATAGGAAGTGATATGGCACACATAATTCTGGCAGCAGAAACAGAGGGAAATCAGTTTGAAGAGTTATTTAGGGAGTGCCATTTGGTGACTTACTGGATGGGGAAGATGAGGGTGCAGGAGGCATCCAGGCCAGCTCCAGGGTTTCTGATCCAGTAGCACTGTGTAGGGCGTGCTACCCTTCACTGGGGTAGGACATGCAGGTGAAGGAGATGGTTTGAGGGATTGGGGGTGGTGAGGGGGGGAGGAATGGTGACTTCAATTTTGAACATCTCGAATTTGAAATGTCTGTGAAGCCTGTGGACTCCCAAATGGATACATCCAGAACATATGTCTAAAGCATAAGAGGATAGCTGATCTGGTCAGGTCTGGGGATAGAGATATGGGAAAGTAAGAAAAACAGGTGAAGTGTAAAGGGTATTAGAATGAGAACAGAACCTCGAGGAACACCAGTGTTTAAGGAGCAGGTGGAGGAGGAATTTCAAGAGAGGTAAGGATGGGCAGAGGATGTCATAGAAACCAAGGAATGAGCAGTCAAGAGATACCTCCAAGAGCTCTGCTCTAGGAAGGCTTATGGAACGCTTCTTGGATTTGGCAAGAAGGAGGGAACTGTGATGTTTGTGAGTTTCTGGAGCGGTAGAGGAGGAAGCCTGACTGTAGAGGGCTGAGGATCGGAGGGAAATGAGGAAGCTGGCTTAGCTAGTGTAGACTTCTCTTTGGGGCTTGCAAAGGCAGACAGAGAGAGGGAAGTATCTGGGCAGGGGACATGCAGCGTCAAGGGAGAGCTTTTCTTAGCACGGGACAGATGTAAACATGCAGTGAAGGGGAAAGATCAAGTAAAGGGGACAGTTGGGTAATAGTGGAGAGAGGGAGAGGTGATGTCATGAGACCCTGGAGCAGATGAAAGGGAGGCTATCACGGTTTTAGGTGAGTGAGAAATGTCCCATCCTTGGCGTAGGAAGGGCAGGGGAGGAAGCAGGTGAGGGGGTAGGTAAGGAATTGGCTGCAGGCCCCATGGGGCTGTCCTCTGTTTTCTGTGAAGCTGGAGTTGCCCTCAGCTGCTCACAGTAAGGGAAGCAGGGATTGGGTGGCCTTTTGAGACGAGCGCTGAAAGTGTGGCCCTCTTAGGGGAGTGGAAAAGGGAGCCGAGAAGGGACAGAGATCATCAGCCAGGCATAGCCAGGAACCACAAGGTCCTAGGATGTACATTGGGAATCTGCCATCTCACTGTATTTCAGCAAAGCAGAATCAGATATTTGTGGAGAGTGTGCCAGAGGATCTGGCTTAGGTTCCAGGGCCTTCACTTCTGTGCTGTGGGACCTTAAGGAAATTACCTAGTATTGTGGAGAGTCAGTTTTCTCTTTTGCGAAACTAATAAAATCATACCTACTTTGCATGCTGCATTAAGGACAGACTGAGTAAGGCATGACCAGAACTTGATAAAGGACCTGAGTGTAGAATGTACCTCCAAATAGCCACTTTTCTTCTCCTTTAAGTCAATTTGCTTCGCTAGCGAGGAGCTGGCTTGCCCAGAAGACTTGGTTTATATCCTTCTCCGCATTCTGGAGTGCCTTCTTTATCTCCAAGTTCTGTTCATCCTTCCCTTCAAGGCCCAGATCAAGTCTTTCCTCCATGGAGCTTTCTCTGCCTCTGAACACCTGCAACACTGTAACACACATGAGTGCGTAATCACATCACCTGTTCTTGTGTTGCTGTTTAACTTTTTGTATGCTTGACCACTCTTATATAATTGAAAGCCACTTGAAGAGAACTGTTTATTGATATCCTCTTAGCATCTGGCATAGTGCTGGTGGCCACAATGAGTGATTAGAAAAGCACTCATTGAAGAAATGCATAAACAAATACAAAGTTTTAAAGTCAGGACAGTGGGGGAACATTCTTTTTTTTTTTTTTTTTTTTCGAGATGGAGTCTTGCTCTGTCACCAAGGCTGGAGTTCAATGGCGCGATCTCGGCTCATGCAACCTCTGCCTCCTGGGCTCCAGTGATTCTCTTGCCTCAGCCCCCTGAGTGACTGGGATTACAGGCACCCACCACCATGCCTGGTTAATTTTTTGTATTTTTAGTAGAGACAGGATTTCACTATGTTGGCCAGGCTAGTCTTAAACTCCTGATCTCGTGATCGGCCTCGGCCTCCCAAAGTGCTAGAATTACAGGCATGAGCCACCGCACCCAGCACATTCTTTTTAAAAATTTTTTATTTTCAAATTTTACTCTAAATTGTGGGATGCATGTGCAGAACGTGCAGGTTTGTTACACAGGTATACATGTGCCATGGTGGTTTGCTGCACCTACCAACTTATCATCTAGGTTTTAAGCCCTGCTGCATCGAGTATTTGTCCTAATGCCCTCCCTCCCCTTGCCCCCCACACCCCAACAGGACCTGGTGTATGACAATGGGGAACATTCTTTATGATTACAGTCAGTAATGAGTAGATGCTCTGAGCATTGGAATTGGCTGCTAATTCCAGCTCTGCCCCACACTGTCTGTGACTTGGGCAATGACTTGACCTCACTGAGCCTCAGTATCCTCATCTGTAAAATGAGGATGACATCTACCTTGTGTCAACATAAGGATTAAATGAGATAATGCAGGTAAAGTGCTGAGTACAATTTGGGAAGCATATATTGAGTAAATGCTCAATACATGTTAGCTGTTATCGCCTTTATTACACTGAGCCATGCCTCCCCTTGACAGGACACACTCAAGTATACTTGGACAAAACTGCCATCCCTGGGCCACCTGCTGATCAGCAGCTAGCGATGGACTACGTCATGGAGACATTTTCTGAGCCCAAGTGTTGATGCTTAGAGCGAAGGAAGTGATGCTTCAACAGAGACCAAAAACCGATAGAAGCTGTAGCCACAGCCCAAGGCTGAGGGGGAACAGTATGTGGAGGCTGCTGGTCACAAACGGCCTTTTTAGTGGTGATCACACTCAAAAATAACCCTGCTGTCAGCAGGGAGATTTCTGAGTGCAGAGAGGGAGAGAAGAGAGCTCACAGGTTTGAGCTGGATGAGGACAGTCCCTGGATGCTCCGGCCTCCTCTCTCGGCAAGCAGAGTGTACAGTAGGAGACAGAACAAAGTGCTCCCATGCTGGCCTCCGCCCCGGGTGTCACGGTACCTCTCCCACCCTCACTCTCGGGAGCCGTGCTCAGCAGTACACCCACATCCTGCGCTGCTTAACCACAGCCTCTGGCTGCAGGTGGCACTCAGGACGGGGCTGGGCCTGCTTGAGACACCTCCCTCCTTCACTTCCCCAGCCCTGGCAGCTCTTCCTGGCAGCTTGTGAAAATCTGTGTCCTATCCCCAAGCCCTGCTTCCACCGCCACCATCCTCTTCCGTACCTTCACCTGTCTTTCAAGGCCTGTTTCTGTCTTGCCCATTTTCTGAACTGACCACTCCATCAGGGACCCATCAGTCATTCTCTGCCACCTTTGATGTTTTCCTCCGACTGAAGTTAGGCAAACTTTCTCTTTCTCTCTCTCCCTCCCATCCTTTCTCCCCTTCCTCCATCCCTCCCTTCTTTCCCCTTCCTCTTGTCTTCCCTTCCCCATCCTTGGCGTAGGAAGGGCAGGCGAGGAAGCAGGTGAGGGGGTAGGTGAGGAATTGGCTGCAGGCCCCATGGGGCTGTCCTCTGTTTTCTGGGAAGCTGGAGTTGCCCTCAGCTGCTCACAGTAAGGGAAGCAGGGATTGGGTGGCCTTTTGAGAGGAGCGCTGAAAGTGTGGCCCTCTTAGGGGAGTGGAAAAGGGAGCCGAGAAGGGACAGAGATCATCAGCCAGGCATAGCCAGGACCCACAAGGTCCTCTTTTTCGTTTTTGTCCCCTGCCTTCACTTTTTTTCTCTTATTCCCCATGCTCTCTCTAAAGAGAGCTTCAAATAACGGCCCACCAGCTGTGGGAACAGAGAGTGCTCACATCTGGGGTCATAGCAGAGGCAAAGGGAGTGAGAACCTGAATGGTCTTGGGAGTTAGGGCAGCCTCTGAGGGCCTCTCAGAAAAGAGGGACAGCAACTCTTTCAGACAAACACAGTTTATTTTATTCTCTCTTAGCTGAGAGGAGCCAAGCACATTTATGGAGATGCGAATCACAATCTAGTGGCCTACAGTGGAGATGGGGGTGGGGGGTGTGGCGGTTAAGGCGGAGGGAGGAGCTCAGGGCTGGCTCTGGGCCAGGATCTGTGAATGGGGCAGAGCCTCTGTCAACATTTACTCAGTCCATCCCCGGAGAGGGATGCAAAAGGGGACGAGGATACAAAAGTAGTTGGAATAGTTTGGGATGGGGGACAATTTACATGCAAGGAAAGGTGAAGTCACATCCAAGGGGAAGGGATGAAGAGTAGAAATAAATATCCTGGCAAAAGAGCAGGCCAGCTGTGAGGGCATGACTACTGATGATGCTTCAAAGGAAGAGGAAGCAGCAATGTCTTAGGACTGGGCACCAGCAGAGAAGGCAGGAGGGAGGGAACTGGGGATGAGGCTGGAGGGCGTGAGTTCATTATGAGGCCGAGGAACGATTCTCTCATGGGGTCCAAGGCTAGCCCAGGAAACGGGGCATCGCAGGGGGACTGGAGAGGAGCCAGACGTGGGCCAGTGGGAGGCAGTGTCCTCTGGAGGGTCAGATGCCCCTCTGATTCAGGCCAGAATACAGGTCCCGCTGGCCTTTCCGGATGGGCTGGGGGTAAAATAGAGACAGGGTGGTCAGTGGTGCGGGAGGAAGTACCTTCTAAGAAAGGGCACTGAAGATCTAGCTTTAGGGCATGCGGAGAACTTTGGACTTGAAGGCAGGAGGCAGGCTGGAATTCTAACTTGGCACAGTCAGTCGGAGACTTGAGCTGATCACCTCCTTCCGTGAGCCTCCGCTTTCCCATCTCAAAAATAGGAACTTAAAGACTCACCCTCCAGGGCTTCTTCAGGGCTAAATAACTCACTTATGCTCAAGTAAATACTACATGCTTGGCTGGTGCTCAACAAATATTTGTTGGGTGTATCCAGGTGTGAGAGTGAAAATATTTAACAACTAGTAGTGCACACGCACCAACCAACTAAAAAAATCCTGGTGATCATCTGCTATGCCAGGCATTCACTCTTTAGTTATCCCAACTCAAAAGGCAGCCTGGTTGGGGAGGGGCTGTGATGTCTAGCCGTGTGTGTGTCTGTGTGTGTGTGTGTGTGTGTGTGTCCGTGCACATGCATAAAGGTGGGTTGGAGTGAGTAAAGTTTGGGGCTATTTTCCAATGAAGTATTTTAATATTTCAATAAATAGTATGGCTATACTGGTGCATACTGGTGGAATATCAGCCCTGCATTTACTGTGTTAGGATTTGCATATATGATATTCTCCATGGCTGTATCCCAGGCAATGACTAAGCCAGAGAAAGAGGAGTGTGTCTCCCGCAAGCTTCTACTCTTCATGGTTGTGGGCGCCATGCAGCCTTTGAGACAGTCCTGTTCTATCATGAAGGAGGCAGAGGCGGCGCATGGACGGTCATTTTGGGAGCCCAGAGTGAAGGGCTTTGAGGCATCTGGCAGACAAGATGGGCCATTCCATCTGTTCCCTTTCCCCTAAAGGAGCCTCCCCTCCAGCCTCCTGGCCCATTTCTATCCCCCTTTACCTCATAGTCTGGGTTGGGAACAGGTGGTGGCCTCTCCTTGTTTTGTCCTGCAAAGGAAGGAGGGGAAACATTTCATTTCCATCAGGGAACCAATCTGGCAGCACTGTCTGTGCCAGTGAGACCCAGACAGAGAGTGGCAAACCCCGTTGTTCTCTCCTCTGCCATTCCCTTTGCTGTCCAGCTTCCCTTCCTCTTTTTTCCTTTCATTCATCTCTAAGGATACTCTATACTCTATACTCTTCTTATTTGTGACTTTCCTCAGCTCAAGGTCCTCCCGTTGTTTATTTCCATGGGGGAAGGGAAAGGAAAAGGCAGGAACTAATAGCTCAGAGTCTCTCTTCCCACAGCCGAGGAACAGAATTGGATTACTGCGGGCATTGACAGGCATGTGAGGAAGCCCATCACTTTCATAAGCTTTTCTGCACTTTTCTAGGGTGGGAAGGAGGGGAGTGATGTGAGATTCGGAACCCTCTGTTGAGATCTTGGCATCACAGTAATAGAGAATATGCCCAGAAGCTCCAGAGAAGCTGTTCTGACCTAGTTGTGGACTTGCCACCCACCCTGGCCCAGGCTGCATGTCCCCCCTTGGCAGGAATCTCCACGGCCTTACCCCTTTGCCTGCCACCAGAACCCACTCCTCGTGTCACGGGCTTGGCCTTGGCCTTTCTATTCTTGCTCCAGTAGTAAACCAGCAGCAGCAAGCCCAGAGTGATGCAGATGTCCACTATGACAATTGTGGCCACCGCCATCACATCCACCTCCACGCAGTTCTCACACACTGTCGGGGGTGGGGCAGGGAAGAGAGGAGATCAACAAGCAGGAAAACACAAGGCCCTGGAGGTGAGGAGGGGGCACATGAAGGCCATTCTCCCCTTCTTTGTTTTGACCATTTATGAGCTCTTGCCATGGCCAGAGCCCTGCCTTCAATATGTTCAGAATAACATCAGCAAGCAAAGATTGGTGCCTGTGGGTAGAGGCACTGGAGTCAAACAGCCCTGGGGTTCAGTCCCAGCTTTATTATTCACTAGCTGTGAGAAGTGTGAAATGTGTTTTCAACTCACAAAGCCTCTGTTTCCTCATCCCATTACTCATGGAAATAAAATGGTACTTAACCCATACGGTTGTCGAGAGGATAACATGAAAGAAATCCCTGATAAATGTTGGGTACATGCTTGACAGTTAATAAGCACTCAATAAGTGTTAGCTATTGTTATTATTTCATTATTATACCTTAGCTTATGCCATTTTGTTATAGTGGCTTTGAGTCTTTTTTGCAAACCTTTCTGAAAAATTTCTCTCTGGAGAAAGCGTGAGATAAGCTAACATTGGTGTGCCATGAACCTGGGTGTGATGCAGTGTAAATGACCCAGTCCTGTCTCTTGGGGAGTTGCTATTTTAGATCTCGCATAGACTGGGGTTACCCAGAAGCCTCATATTGGTGTTTAACCTATATTCCAGAAAACACTGATGGTGCATGGTACCAGAGAGTCTTGGGATTGAGTGTGGGAGAAAGTGCAAAGACGCCAGGGCACTGTGAGCTGGGTTAGGGGAAATCATTGAGAATGCCCCCTCTTCTTGAGACAAAGTTTCACTCTTGTTGCCCAGGTGCGATCTCAGCTCACTGCAACCTCTGCCACCCGGGTTCAAGCGATTCTCCTGCCTCAGCCTCCCGAGTAGCTGGGATTACAGGTGCCTACCACCCATGTCAGCTAATTTTGTATTTTTAGTAGAGATGGGGTTTCACTATGTTGGCCAGGCTGGTCTCGAACTCCTGATCTCAGGCAATCCACTTGCCTTGGCCTCCCAAAATGCTGGGATTACAGGCGTGAGCCACCATGCCCGGCTGAGAATGCCCTTCTGAATGCTCCTCCCTAAAGAGCCCAGTGGTGCCTGCTCTGCAGACCCAGATTACCTCTTGCCTTCAGGTAGAGATAATGGCTCGCCTCTTCTGTGGGGGTCTCTTTGGAGAGGCAGGCATAATAACCACTTTGTTCCATTTCTGAAAAATCCTCCAGTAACAGGTGGTCCTCATGACCTTCTTTGTTTTGATCATTTACGAGCCATTTTATTTCCTGTCCATCATACCGAGGGCATGTCAGTGTTACTGTGGTTCCTGAGATGGAAACTTTATATGCTGGGGAGAAAGAAGGGACATTGGTGGAAGAAACAGAGACGATTTTAGAAAAGGCAAATTAGTGACAAAAGAACCAACCAACTGCAGGAAGTCATCTGTCATCCAGGTCTTAGATTTGCTTATCAGAAGGGGGCTCTACTGGCTGGAGGGTGTGGAAGAGGAGATATGTGGAATGAAGCCACCTTTTGAGAGGTGGCTTTAGGGTTTACGCAGGGACATGGGGACTTGGGAAGGGGAAGACTGATGTAAAGAAAAACCCATAAAAGTCCCTATTTAGAACCTTTCTAAAATGGGATCGAGAATGCAAATGCTGGGCCGATCTCAGTTCTTGGGGTCAATCTGTCTCAGTCAGTTCCTTCTCATGTACCCACCAATCTGCATCCTCAGACAGGGCATAAATAAAAAACGAATAAACTCACGGTTCTGGGTAGTATCACCTGAAAATGAAAAAGGGAAAGGTGGTAAGAAAATATCTTGGTTTAAGTTTAAATTGTAGGTAAATTTTTTTCTAGTGGAATTAGACACTGCCCACAAGACTTCCCAAAGAGGTTCTCATCCATTTAGGAGCCCCAAGTCTTGGAGGTGAGGTTTATGCTTAGTCTATGAGATTTAGCTCATAGATATATTTATTAAATAGCTCATAGATGTAACTCAGATACACCAGGTTCAGAATATAGCAGCATGTGCTCCTAGATCCAGATCTACTGAAGTTCAGAAAGCCTTAATGTCCTAAAGCCAAAAAATTCCAGAGGTTTCAAGCTTATCCTCTCATGTTAGCCAGAACTGTATTACAGATAGATTTGAAAGGGCCTTCTCAGAAATAAAGATCTCTATGCCATTGAATCACTGATGTGTGGACTTACCTGTGTCTTACAATTCAGAAATTCTTTCTTACAACTGAGTCCCTCATAATAAAGAACAAGCATCTTTCTTCTTATTCCATAGAATTTTCTCTGTGTTTGCCTTTAAATAATGTGAAATACTCAACACATTTTGAGGGAATGGTTCTTCCAATGAAAAGTGGCTTCATTTTACATTATCTCTGAGCATAATCAGCTCTCCATTATTTTTGTTAGAGGGAGGCCCATTAGTGTGGACAACTGAAATCAACTAATAATCCACTAATGCCGTTTGTAGGTCCAGTCATGTTTCCCACAGCCGCCGTGTTTGCCCTGGGAGGTGGAGCTAGGGGTCCTTGCTTATTTCCTGGAAAAGTTGTGGCTGGAACACTGGGTTTTGCTAGAGCCCGGACCTGACAGTGGAAGAGAGGAGAGGTGGTGGTGCTGCTGTCAAAGACAGAGCTCTGGACGCAACAGTCAGATGCTCTGTGTTTGAATCCTGGTCTGCCCTAGTCTGTGTGACCGAGGGCAAGTCATTTAACTTTGCTGAACCTCAATTTCTTTATCAGGGAAATGGAGACAAAACACCAACCTCACAAGGTTTTTGTGAAAATTAAATGGATTATTAAGGTGAAAGTGGCTGACACATAGCAGGTGCTCAAGAAAAAGTTATGTCCTTTCCTCCTTTCCTTCTTTTTTTTTTTTTTTTTTTTTTTTTGAGACGGAGTTTCGCTCTTGTTACCCAGGCTGGAGTGCAATGGCGCGATCTCGGCTCACCGCAACGTCCACCTCCCGGGTTCAGGCAATTCTCCTGCCTCAGCCTCCTGAGTAGCTGGGATTACAGGCACGCGCCACCATGCCCAGCTAATTTTTTGTATTTTTAGTAGAGACGGGGTTTCACCGTGTTGACCAGGATGGTCTCGATCTCTCGACCTCGTGATCCGCCCGCCTCAGCCTCCCAAAGTGCTGGGATTACAGGCTTGAGCCACCGCGCCCGGCGCCCTCCTTTCCTTCTTGAGGTCCTGCTACCCCCAGAACAGAACTGAACTCTGACTCAGTTGCTCAGGCAGCCTCCTGACCAAGACTCTGCAGAATGTAAACAAATCATTCTCTATGTCTCTCCACCTGCTTATAATTCGGAGTTGAGTATAAAGGCAGTAGACAGTTTATCTGATTTTAACTTGTAAATAATTTTTCAACACTGGTGTTTTTTAGACATGTTAAATGAACTAGAAATCATAAAGTACCTAGACATCATACTCTGCTGGGTGTGTCTGTTTGAAAAAAAGTAAAGAAAATTGCTCCCAACTTTTATTGGCACAAATTCAGTAGTGGAGCTTAGACTTAGCTTATGCTGTTACAAGGGTCTAGACGTCTATGCTTACACAGAAATGTGCTCCACATGTGTTCACTGCAGCACTATTCACAAGAGCAAAGACATTGAATCAACCTAAATGCCCATCAGTGGTAGAGTGTATATAAAATGTGCTGCATATATGCCATGGAATACTATGCAGCCATAAAAAAGAATGAGATCATGTCTTTTGCAGGAATATTGATGGGGCTGGAGGCCATTATCTTTAGCAAACCAACACAGTGACGGAAAACCGAGTACCACATGTTCTCACTTAGAAGTGGGAGCTAAATGATGAGAACACATGGACACCTAGAGGGAAACGACACACACTGGGAGGGTGGGAGGAGGAAGAAAATCAGGAAAAATAACTAATGGGTGCTAGGCTTAATACCCAGATGATGAAATAATCTGTAAAACAAACCCCATGACACAAGTTTACCTATGTAACATACCTTTACATGTACCCCTGAATTTAAAACAAAAGTTAAATTTAAAAAAGATATGTGTGCTCACAAAGATTTTATACACATCCAGAGACAGTATTTCATAATGGTTAAGAAAATGAACTTCAGTATCATGTAAATCTGCATTGAATTTTTTTATTTTTAAATTTCTATTAATTTTTTTAGAGACAGGGTCTTTCTCTGTCACAGAGGCTGGAGTGCAGTGGCACAATTTTGGCTCAATGCAACCTCAACCTTCTGAGCTCAAGCGAGCCTCCCACCTTGGCTTCCCAAAGTGTTGGGATTATAGGCATGAGCCATTGCACCTGGCCTAAATCTGCATTCACATATCTAGGACTGGGCTGTTTATTTATTTTTGTTAATTTTTGTATTTATTTGAGCCTTTGTTTCCTTATCTGTACAATAGGGATGTTAGAAGAATTAAACGAGAAAATTCAAATAGAATATTTAGAGCAATGCCTAAAAGATACATGCTCAGTAAACTTCAATGCTTATCATGTATGATCACCGTGCTTTCCATGTATTAATAGCTAAAATTTACCTGCTGACTCTTTTTCTTTTTAAGACAGAGTCTTGCTCTGTCACCCAGGCTGGAGTACAATGGTGCAATCTTGGCTCACTGCAACCTCCACCTCCCAGGTTCAAGCAATTCTTCTGCCTCAGCCTCCTGAGTAGCTGAGATTACAGGCACCCACCACCACAGTTGGCTAATTTTTGTATTTTTAGTAGAGACAGAGTTTCACCATGTTGGCTAGGCTGGTCTTGAATTCCTGACCTCAGGTGATCCACCCACCTCAGCTTCCCAAAGTTTTGGGATTACAGGTGTGAGCCACCATGCCCAGCCCACCTACTGCCTTTTATGTCAGATAATGTTCTAAGTGCCTTAAATAAATTATTCACTCGGTCCTCATAATAACCCTATAAGCTAGGTAGCACTATTATTTACATTGTACCAATAATGATGCTATGGCATAGAAAAGTTAGGTAAATTACTCAAACACACCCAGCAAATATGGGGTTTAGCCAAGATTCAAACATTCTGGTCTAGCTCAGTTAGACTTTTAGCCCTCATACTATATAACTTTGTCTTTTCTGCATAAAATATTTTTTCCCTAAAACATGAGCTTATCCTTAAGAATTCAGCACAAGGATCATCTCCCCCAGGGAGACTTTCTCAACAACACTCTGTAGAGTTGACCAGTCCCCTCTTTATACTTCACTTTACTCTGTATCTACCCATATTATAACATGCAACTCGTTTTATTTTTAATTATTTGTCTCTTACACAGGCCATCAGCTTCTTAAGCGGAGGTAATTAGCAATGTGTTCACACATTTGTTCATTTATTCTTTCAGAAAATATTCATTGAGCACCTATTATGTGCCAGACACTGGACTAGATAAATGAGACACTGTCTGTGTCTGCCTTCAAAGATTTCATGGCTTATACAAAAACAAATGGTAGCTCCAACCCACACCCATATGTGTGTGATCAGAGATACATACATACACAGCTATAATCTGACATGACAGCTAGCAACAAACACAGGCACGTTTCATCCAGATCCCATTGAAAGATACTTGTATTTTCCCTTTACTAGTTTTAGTTCTTAGTGTTTGTTACTGTGATTGTACTCTATGACCATTTTGTTCTACATCTGAAAAGAGGTCAGATAGAGTGAAAATCCTCTTACCAATCTCTTCATTACCTGAAAAGGAAACGGTAAGAATCCATTAGTAACGTTTCTATTGGCAACGAAGACCAGATCCTGCTCCTGTGGGTTGGGACTCTTCCCTCTACCCTTAGGAAACAATGGATCTTCAAATTCCCTCCACTGCATATAAAAAGCTGTTTTGGGCCTTACGTCTTATCTGACGACTATTTCCAAAAATGGCTCTTAAGGACACTACAAATTAGGCAGCACAGTGGAATGTGGGCATAGTGGTTGCCTTTATTTTAATTTTTGAGACAGTCTTGCTCTGTCACCCAGGCTAGAGTACAGTGGTGCAATCTTGGCTCACTTGCAACCTCTGCCTCCCAGGTTCAAGTGATTCTCCTGCCTTAGCCTCTCGAGTAGCTAGGACTAGAGGCATACACCACTACGCCCTGTTAATTTTGGTATTTTTGGTAGAGACAGGGTTTCACCATGTTGGCCAGGCTGGTCTCGAACTCCTGGCCTCAAGTGATCTGTCCATCTTGACCACCCAAAATGCTGGGATTAAGGTGTGAGTCCCGGTGTCCAGTTGTGGTTGCCATTAAATACAACATTGGTTCACTCAGTTTGGAGGAGCTGATTGAATAGAGTGGCTTCCAATGTTGGACCACTCCTGACTCTACTGTTGTGACTGAGAGAGTAAGTTCAGGCCGGGCAGGCTCAGATGCCTGTGCACCCGCATGAACACACATGTACACACATGTACACACATGTATTCAGAATATTCAGACATGTGATTCTGAACACACACCAAAGGTTGCCCCAGAAGCTTCTCCAGAGTAACCCTGTGCAAGCATTCTGGCTACATCTCCTCTGCAGAATCTCACATCAAATATAAATGCAAACAGATGAAAACTGTTAGTGCTTTCAACTTCATTTAAGTCTGTTTTTTTTTTTTTTTTTTTTTTTTTTTTTGCACAGTGAAGACTCATCATTTCCTCCCTCTGTTGCTTCCCTCTTCTGGGCTGGAAATGTCTCCGGACTTGTGAGGAAAGTCAAAGGAGTAGATGGGAGAAGCCCCTTTTCCTGGTCTCTGTGGAAGTTCTGTGGGAGGCCTAAGAGCAAGCTCCACTCATAACTACAAAGAATGATGGGCTGATTTCATAAAAAAGAAAGAAAGTATATCTCACCGTCCTGCCCCCAGATGCCAACTAGAAAATAAATAAGAAAAAAAAAAAAGTGTTAGTAAATGTTGTGGGTACCTGCATTTCTAAACAGAAAAAGGGCTGTGTTGCAGTATGACCACTGATGACATCTGATGTCCTTCCCAGTCACTGCTGGGTCACAGCCATTTCTATACCCTGGAACAGTGGAACTTACTGCTGGTATTTACCAGGGGTTCCCAGGAAATGTGGAAGAAAATAGAGGAAGGAAGCATCTAGCATTAACTATGAGCCCACGATATTTGATAAGCAGAAGTCAGAAAAAGTCGGAACTGTTTTTTGGATGACTAGAGACATAGCAAAAGAATTTTGCCCCTAAGCTTCCATTTTGAACATTGGTCTCCATGGAAGAAAAACATGCTCTTGGTTGGGTACAAACACTGGGATTCTTGTTCCATTTCTGGCTCTGCTTTTCTGGTGGTTCAGTTTTTCCATTTGTTTTCTGCTTGAGACAGATGGAAATATTTGAAACCCTGATTACTCATCAGCCAGGGCCTGTGTGTTAAAGAGCCCAATCACATTTACAGCAGGCCCTCCAGAATGCCCTCAATCAGCAATACTTTGGATTCATTACAATGATCAGTTTCCCTGGCATTGCCTGAAAGCTTTCTGCACACCTAGGCCTTTCTTTTACTGAAGCCTCTACACTGGAGGAGCCAGGATCCCCACTGTCGTATCCTCAAAGCAGATTGGGTACGTTCCTATGATGCCAGATATCTGGGATGATTGGGCCTTTGACAGTCTCTCTTTTAATTTATTTTTATTTATTTATTTTTTGAGACACTCCAGGCTGGAGTGCAGTGGCTTGATCATGGCTCACTGCAGCCTTGACCTCCTGGGCTCAAGTGATCCTCCCGCCTCAGCTTCCCAAGTAGCTGGGACTATAGGTGTGTGCCATCATGCCTGGCTAATATTTAATTTTTTTTTTTTTTTTTTTTTTTGTAGAGATGGGGTTTCACTATGTTGCCCAGGCTGATCTTGAACTCCTGAGCTCAAGTGATTTTCCCACTTTGGTTTCCCAAAATGCTGGGATTACAGGTGTAAGCCACTGCATCTGGCCTTCTTCTTCTTCCCTTTTTTTTTTGGAAAAGCACGCTTTACAACACTAAAATGGTTTAATTCTATTTCCACCTAGGAAGGAAGGCATTATATCCTCTTTTTAAAATTCTTTTTAATTTTTACTATATAAACTGACAAATCTTCTACTTTACAGATTAAGAAATTGATAGAAAATGCCTGGTCACTCCCTACAGGAGTTACATCCTGCCCCTTGGTACTCAATGTGTTCCTAGGATCAGTAGCAGATTAATAAACTTGAGAGCTTACTAGACTTGTGGAATCTCAGTCCCCAGTTCAGGTCTTTTGAAGCAGAAGCTGCATTTTTTTTTTTTTTTTTGTATTTCTTTTTAGTAGAGACGGGGTTTCACCATGTTGACCAGGATGGTCTCGATTTCTTGATCTCGTGATCCACCCGCCTTGGCCTCCCAAAGTGCTGGGATTACAGGCGTGAGCCGCCGCGCCCGGCAGAAGCTGCATTTTTAACAAGATCATCAGATGATTTGTGTGCACATTCAAGACGTGAGAAACTCAAGACGAAGCAGGAAGTGGAGATATCATGGCTGGGGCTCTGAGATGGGGGCACCAGCTGTGACAGCATTTTCTAGGTCTCTGAAAGAAAACCATCACGAGCCATTTTGCCTCATGCGGTGCAGCCATTTAGAGCACAAACAGTCCTGGTCTCCCAGATCAGCTTCAGCACTTACTATGTGGTTTAACACGTTATTTAACCTTTTCGAGTATCAATTTGTTAATCTGTAGAGGATTTATCAGCTTAGGTAGTAAAACTTAAAGAAGTTTTTAAAAAGGACATAACCCTTTCCCTCCTAGGTGGAAGTAGTATTAAACTAATTAACACATCTAAATAATTTTTTCTTTACACAGTACCTGGCACTCAATAAATGGCAACTTTTTTGGTATTATTTATCTCATGAGACACAGAAATGCTCTTGGTTATTTGTCGATTCATACCCCATCTTGCTTCAAAAATAAATAAATAAATAAATAAACCGAAAGTTGTTGGGCACCTGAAAAGAACTGAAAATTACGAGGCGTTTTATTGTCTCAAAGACAGTGAACTTGCTCTACATGCCTTGTGCAGAGTTTTAGCTCAGCTATCTGGTCTCCCCAAAACAAGGAGTGGAGCTTTGCTCTTCTAATCTCTTTTGGGTTAGTTCTGGAGGGCTGGGTAAGTTGCAATGAGCTTGTCCTCAGAGGCAGCGAGACCTCTTTGCTCTCAAGAGCTATGAGCACCCCAATTGCTCGTCTTCGCCTGCTCCCCAGACGCTCTCCCAGGCACCCGTGGCCTTTTTCTTTAGTCCCCAGCTCTAATCCCCCACCCTAACATAGCACGAACAGTTCCTTACATCTGGTAAATGATGCTTCTTGGTGCCATCGGGCAGTGCCAGGTACGACTGTAAGCCTTCCAGTTGTCAGGAGACACACCACCCTTTCCACTCCATCCTACTCACCTGATAAGAGGCAGAGGCCTAGAACTCTCCAGCGAGCGCCAGGAGACACACCACCCTTTCCACTCCATCCTACTCACCTGATAAGAGGCAGAGGCCTAGAACTCTCCAGCGAGCGCCTGAGTGCATCCTTCTCTCACGGGATGGTTCCTCTGCTAAGATGGCGGAGGCCAGCAGGCTTACTACTTCTGGAAAAAAAAAAAAGCAAAATAGGTGACTTTTTCAAAACATTTGCCAGAGATAAGGACCTTGGGGCCGTTGTTCCCAATGCCAGGATAAAAAAGGAGGGCTTTATAAGAGAAAGACTCACCATTTTCTGAAGCAGGCACCTGAGGCTGGGAGGGAGGCGGGCTTCTGAACCCCACACAGGAAGCAGAGGGGCCTCTGGGCTTGCGGGTTCTACCTCGCTTGGAAACGTTCAGGGCAGAGGCCTCCCCCTGGGTTGGTGGAAGAAAGCTGGTTCCCACAGCCTTCCTAGAAGGACAAAGAGGGCTCTGACAAAACCTGGAGGGGCCATGAAAAATATCTGACATTTAGCTGTCCAGACCATGCAGTAGGTTGGTGCAAAAGTAATTGCAGTTTTTCCCATGGAAAGTAATGGTAATACAATGTGCCTCCACGTTGGTGGACCCCCCGACTCCCCTGTAAGCTCTGACAAGAAGAGGGAGGTGCGGGAACATTTCCTTTCTTTATGGTGGACCGGGCACGGAGCAGCAGGATGCAGCCATCTTGCTAACAAAACTTGTTGGCTTGAAAATGCGTGTTAACTGAAATCCACGAGATGCCATTTTTTTTCCTATATCTTTACAAAAATATTTAAAAACACAAGACCCAATGTTGAACAGGGTAAAGAGAGAGAGCGTCGAAGTCTGCTGTTAGGAATGTGAATTGATATAGCCCTTCTTTATTTTTAAGCATGCATTATCAAATGCTTACTGTCTTCAAGCACTGTGCTAAGAGCTTTTCTGACATATCTCATTTAACCCTCAAAACGACCCTCTAAGGTAGGTATTATTTTTATTTCCATTTTATACTGGAGCAAACTAAGCCTTAGACAGGTTACTTAAGTTGTGGATTACAGAGCTGGGACTCTAGAAAACATTGTGGTGAAATTCACTTATTTAGTACATGTTTTCTGTCTACTGTGCTGTAGTTCTGTGCTGGGTGCTAGTAATACAGCAGCAACAAGATAAATAATCCTCTTGGATAAAAAAGGAAATGTAGACATTAAACAGATAACTTCATCACCATTAACCATGCCCTGCATGATGGTGTTTTCTTGTTTTCTTAGCTACTCAGGAGGCTGAAGCAGGAGGATTGCTTGAGGCGAGGGGTTCAAGACTGCAGCAGCTGTGATTGTGCCTGTGAATAGAGACTGAACTCCAGCCTAGGCAACATAATGAGACCTCATCTTTCAAAAAAAAAAAATCCCAGATAACTTCAGGAGATTCATGCTAGGAAAGAAGACATTTAGGCACTGTGGGAGTGATCGAAGGGATCTAAGATAGTCTGGGGTGGGATGGGGAAGAGAAGGCTCCTCTGAGCCGGTGACATCTAAGCTGAAATTTGATGGAGGAACAGCAATGAACCAGGTGGAGTGGAAAGTATTCCAGACAGAGGGAGCAACATGTTTGAAGCCCAGAGATAAAGAAGAGAAATGGAAAGTCCAGAACAGCAGGTAACAGGGAGAGCGAGGAGTTCGAGAAATAATACAGGAAACTCGCTAGATGTGGTACTTTGGGAGGCCAAAGCAGGCAGATTGCTTGAGTCCAGGACTTCAAGACCTCAAGACCAGCTTGAGCAACATAGTGAAACCCAATTTCTCCCAAAAAAAAAAAAAAAAAATTAGCCAGGTGTGGTGGTGCTCATCTGTAGTCCCAGCTACTTGGGAGGCTGAGGTGGGAGGATCACTTGAGCTCAGGAGGTTGAGGCTGCAGTCAGTTATGATTGTGCCATTACACTCCAGCCTGGGAGAGTGAGACCCTGTCAAAAAGAAAAAAAAGAAAACTCAGCAGGGGCCAGATAGGAAGGGATTTGCAAACTATGTTAGGGATTCTTAAGGATTTTCTAAGGGCCTTAGGAAGTATTTGAGTAGTTTTAAAAAGGTGAGTGACAGTGTCAAATTCTTATAATATTCAAATGAAAAAAGTGCGTTTTTTGTTTTGTTTTGTTTTGTTTTTACATGAAGTCTCACTCTTGACCAGACTGGAATGCAGTCATGTGATCTTGGCTCACTGCAATCTCCCTATCTGGGACTCAATCCATCCTCCTATCTCATACTCCTGAGTAGCTGGGACTACAGGCACCCTCCACCATGCCCGGCTATTTTTTGTATTTTTGGTAGTGACAGAGTTTCACCATGTTGCCCAGGCTGGTCTTGAACTCCTGAGCTCAAGCAAGTTGCTCACCTTGGCCTCCCAAAGTGCTGGGATTACAGGCGTGAGCCACCACACCTGGCCAAAACGTAAAAAGTTTTAATGATGGAAATAATACGTGCTTGTTAAAAACAATGCATATACAAGGGCTTTATAACAATAGCCCCCTGTTCTACCTTAATTTACTCCTACACCTCTCCCTAGAGAAAATCACTTAAAAATTTTTCAACTGTGTGTGTTTTTTTTTTTTTTTTTTCTGGTGGTTACCTTCATATCTGTAAATGTGCATTGCCATCCATCAGGTTCTCTGGGAAATAAAAATGGAGATTTGTGCAGGTGGCTTGTTGAGGAAGCACAGAAGCATCATCTGTAAGGGAGGGAGGGGCAGCATTGGGCAGGGAGTGGTGAACTGCAATGAGGTTCACCGCAGGATGAGGTTCACGGTGAGGTTCACTGAGGCAGGAACCTCAGCCAGAGCCATGAGGAGCTCACAGCCTGGGATCACCCTCCTGAGTTACCTTGAATTGAGCAAAGGGGCACACCGGTCAGTTGCTGGGTGTGAGTTGCTCCCAGAGAGGGGGTGTGAAGTTGGGTGAGGCAGCTGTTTCTGCTGAGGGCAATGCCTTTGAAAGAACTCAACTGTGAGTCCTCTGAGAAGAAGAATCCCAGCAGCTGGGGGAGGGAGCAGCCTTGAAGCAATGACCTGGGTGCAGCCACAGCATCCATGCAGTTTCATCCTTGCACTGCTTGGATCCATTCGCTTCATATAATAATTTAATCCCATCCTTAAACAGCTTTTTCAGGATTCCAGTTATCTCTTTTCTTGGAGAAGCTTATATAAGGAAAGTTAATGGGACAAATGACAGCCCCATTAGCACAGCTGTCTCAGGGTGCATCTGATAGGCATTGCTTATCTCCCTTGTTCCCCATTCTGGATTGCTCCTAGCCTTGGCTAGCACCTCTGCCGACCTCAGGGAAGACACAGCTTGAGGAGTCTGAGTCCCTGGCCATCATGGCCTTTTCGGGCTGTGGCTGCTGCACTTGCCCATTTACCATCAAAATTACGCTAAGAGATGCCCCAGGGGAGCCCTCGGATTCTCCCTGTGCTGTCCCTGCAGCCCTGCCTCTGCCTTATCATCAGATCTGGAGAGGTTCATTCTGCTGGGGGAGCGAATCATTATTTATTTATTTGTTTGTGTGTGCACGCGCGCGTGCGTGCTGGTCTCTCAGCAGTGGTGTAGATTAAAGTTTAGTGGGTGCTGCAGTGAAAGTGTTCTGCCTCTGGAAACCATGGCCCCTGGAAACTCAGAGCCTAGAGTTAGGGGGACAGGAAGCACAAATGTCCTAAGTGGGTCACTGGAAGTAATGGTAAGCATGGATATCCCTACTTCTAGCCTTTAGTTCTTGGACACATGCATTCTAGCTTTTGGGGACATAGTATCATGTAACAGTCATGGGTTTAATATGTATACCACATCCTGAAGGATGGTGTCCAGTCCTAGCAGGGTGTCATCTCTAAGTTGATACCTTAGCTATGTCTTCAAAGACTATTTCATGGATCCATCAGGCTGGCAGCTTCTGGGTAATGTGGTATATGACAGGGCCAGTGGATCCCATGGTTGTATGTCCCCTGACACATCTTTGCTGTAAAGTGGGTCCCATGGTCTGTTGTGATGCTGTGGAAGAGCCAACGCTGACGGATCAGACAGTATGTGAACTCTTGGATAGTAGGGCTAGCTCAGGCACTGCAGGTAAGAAAATCAAACTCATACTCAGAATATGTCAAATTAATTGATTTGTCCTATCAATGAATTGAGTCCTTTCCAGGTTTTGGTTTGAAAAGGGTCCAATGTGATTCACTTGCCAAGAAATGACTGGTTGGTTTCCTTCAACGATGAGCCAAATTGGAGGCTCAGCACTGAACTCTGTTTTGGCAGTGGCAGTAGCTGAATCAGCCTTTGTGAGTGGGAACCCACACTGTTGTGCCCAGGTCTAGCCTTTACCATTGCCACCATAGCTACTACATTCCTAACCCCACTGTTTCAGTGTTGGGATGGCCATGGACAGAAGCTAGTTGACTTTAACTGGCCAAACGATTTTCTACTACTTTGTGCTGTGGTGCCTCTTCCATGACGGATATTCTTTGCTTGGTGTTCACATGCGACACAAAGATCTTCACACCTGGTAATGACTCCCGTGAGTCCATACACATACCTCTTTCCCAGACTTCCCTGTCCCCAATCTTCTACTCTTACATGTTCCAGGCCCCTGATCAACAGATCAAGCCACTCACACTGCCCATGGATCTCTGTATATTCTAACATTAGACCACTTATCTTTCCACATAAAGTGAATGACCACATACAATGGCAGAAGCTCTGCCCTTTGACAGGATTTTCCTATACTATCCTTCCCTTCCCTTCCCTTCCCTTCCCTTCCCTTCCCTCCCCTCCCCTCCCCTACCCTACCCTCCACTCCTCTTCCACTTCTCTCTTTCTCTCTTTCTTTCTTGAGACAGAGTCTCACCCTGTCACCCAGGCTGGAGTGCTGTGGCACCATCTTGGCTCACTGCAACCTCTGCCTCCAGGGCTCAAGTGTTTCTTGTGCCTCAGCCTCCTGAGTAGCAGGGACTACAGGTACGTGCTACCACGTCCAGCTAATTTTTTGTATTTTAGTAGAGATGGGGGTTTTACCATGTTGCCCAGGGTGATCTCAAACTCCTGAGCTCAGGTGATCTACCTGTTTTGGTTTCCCAAAGTGCTGGGATTATGGGCATGAGCCACCTCACCTGGTCCCCTTTGCTACTCTTTCAAGGTCATCCCCTAGTGGGACTGCAGGACTTCAGCATTCCATTTTTGGCTTGCATCCACATGCTAAGATGACATCTGTCAAGGAAGCTCAGGCTTTACTCTCCTCTGTCAGCCGGTCTTCAGGAATATCCCACCAGGTAGCTATAGGTTGAACTGAAGGTGAAGTATTGCTGTAGTAGCGGTGG